CCAGCTGGCTGCCAATCTCATGACAGTTAAGAAAATCAAGTCACCATGACAACAGGAAGATATAATCAGACCGGTCGCCTCAAAAGTTCATTTTATGGTAGCCTGAAAAGAAATGGTATGGTTTGATTCACCATTACAAATACAACAGAAATTTGAAGAGTCTTAACTAGTTCTTCTGCAACACAACTAATTCAACTTTTCCAGGTCTAGCACAAGCACTTAACATGTATCAACAAAGATTATTTTTCTTCTAATGACAAAGATTAGAAAAATTGTCCAGAAAAGCTTCCGTAACATTTCTATTTTTTATCTGAAGATTAGTCATTCCTCACGAGATCTCAAAAGCAAGATGGGAATGGTCAAACAGAGGAATTGAGATAGATGTCTGTCTCTGGCTTGTAATAATGTTCACTGCCCTTAGAAAGGTTTAATAGTTTTCTTTTGTTTTTTTGTAGAAAATACGGTCATAATTGCTGGAATTGATAAAATCAGCCAACTGGAGCACAAAATCAGCAATGTCACTTAGTTGGAGTCCTGGAGACATTTAGAGTTTCCTGATTTTATGCCTCTAGATTATGTAGGATTCGTTCCTTTTTTTGTTCATCGTATAGCTGTAAAATAGGATAGAATAGTTGTCCTTTTTCCTTTATATACTGTGCAACTCTTCTGACTCAATATAAGAAATATTTTCCACAAATCAACATGGTATCAGAGCCATCTAGGGTTCTAAGATTTATCTTTCGATGATTAGCCTTTGTAAGGATCAATTCCAGCCTTCTTTCCTGTTTAGTTAGCTCAATAATGTAAGAAGAAACAGAATATTCTGCTCTTGCTGCTGCTAAACGTGAGATGAAGTCAGAAAATGGTCTTGGTGGAAGAAAACTTACTTTTGGGGTAAAGGAAGTTCTACACCCAACAGTGCAAACAAAGGGCTCCATGCTTCATCTGATGTGCAAAAATCTCATGACTCAAGCCATACAGGATCTCTGGAACAACCAATTTTCACCAAGAATCATCTAGAGCACATATGTAGGTTAATGAATCAAAAGACACTTTCTTCCTATCCTTGTGCAAATCTATCTCAAACAGGTAACTAGCTTGCAGCACTCCATTCTAAAACTACAAAATCAGACCCCTGGATCAGAGATGCAGGGGCTACAGACCATATTACAGGTTCATCAAAGGTATTTCCATCTTATATTCCATGTTCTTGTCATCAAACACTCAAAATAGCTGATGGTTCAACTTCTTCTGTTGCTGGAAAGGGTTCAGTTTTGGTTTCAAGAACTCTAATGTTGAATTCAGTGTTGCATGTTCCTAATTTATCAAGCAATTTAATCTCTATCAGAGAACTTAGACCATACTTTACTGTGAATTCAAATGTTTTCCTAGTCATTGCTTGTTTCAGGATCAGAGGGGGAAGATGATTGGCAGTGATAGGGAAGTTGATGGCCTATCAGGCATGAGGAACCTAGAAAAACAACAGAATTACAAGCCTTTCCAAGTTGGACCTCTAGAAAATGCGAGGATAAAATAAAATTTTGGCACTTTAGGTCCTAACATCCTAATTTTCACTACCTCAATATTATTTCCTTCTTCTTTTAGAAATTAAAATATGTTCCAATTTAAGATCACGTTAAAAATCATGCCCTTTTGCTCTTGTTCATGGTGATTTGTAGTAAACACTCTATTTAAGATCACGTTAAAAATCATGCCCTTTTGCTCTTGTTCATGGTGATTTGTAGTAAACACTCTTTCTGGTGCTAGTTGGTTCATCACATTCATTTATGACCACACTCGTGTGTTGAATATATCTCTTAAAAGAAAAATATGAGGCACCAAAAGTCTACCAATCCTTTCACGAAATGATCCAAACACGATTCCAAACAAATATTCGTGTTTGAGAACCGGCAGTGGAAGAGAATTTTTCCTAATATTTTGGGAATGTATTGGAACAAACACAATTGTTCATCAATCTTCTTGTGTTGACACACCACAACAAAATGGGATGAAAAAACCAAAAAATAGACATTTATTAGAAGTATCTCAAGCCTTGATGCTTCGAATGAGTGTTCCAAAGCAATTCAGGAGTGAGGCTATTTTAACAGCTTCGCAAATAGACTTCCAAACTGTGTTGTAATTTCAGTACCCCGATAAACTGCCTTAAACAACTCCACACCCAAATTCCAGCCATATAATTTCATCCTTGCCACCCAAAGTGTTCAGCAGTGCTGCATTTCATATTCACCCTCAAAATCGCACTAAATTAGATCCCCAGTCAATTAAATGCACTTTTCTTGGATATTATCCAACAAAAGGGTTACAAATGCTTCCATCTTCCATCTCATAATTTTTTTTTACCTCCATGGATATCAATTTTTTTGTAAGTAAGTTCTTGTTTAGCTTTGAACTTCTCTTCAAGGGAAGAGTGAGAAAATAAGAGTTTGTGGTTGTTCTTCGGATACTTGATAAGCCTATATCCGAAAGAATTATGCATATCACTTCAATTGTCACCAATGAATTTGAAAGTGAAAATGGGGTGACGCATGATACAATCAAACAATTATTGAAGGGAAAACGAGAGAAGAATAGAAAGGAGGGGGAAAAGAGAAGAAGAGAAAGGAGGGGAATGAAGGAGATAGAAATGGGAAAAGAACTAGAAAGATGAAAGTAGAATTTAAAAGAGAGAAAATATATTTATTTCATTATGAAAGTTGTGTGAATTAAATTGCATAAGCCTCCTTTTTATAATGTTTAAATTAGTCCTATCTGAAGTAGGAAATACTATAAAATCGATGAAATCAAACCCTAATTATGTTTCCTAAAATAAGTATCAAAATTAGAAACTAAATTAAATAATATCTATATTAAATTTTATCATTTCTCCTCATCTGAGAGAACTCGGCTCCAACGAGATAGATTGCAATAATCAAGGAAGGCGATCTTTCTTATTGACCAAATAATGGAATCGACAATGCGACGACAACTGAATCTGAAAATCATCCCCAAGCATTTGATCAGATCAAGAGGGACCACCTTTCCTTTTAACCAATTAACGATAAAGAACCCCAATAAATAACAACATGTGCAACTCATTCATCAATGCCTTTTAAATGTATTGACCAGTCAAATAGATTAAGTTCAGATGAATAATCCCATTTTTTCTTTACATGTTTCAAAAGTGTGTCAAAGAAACATGTAACAAGGCATAAAAATCATCATGAACGCATCGGTGCCTAAACTGTGCATCAAATGCATGCTTATAAGTTTCATAACTAAAATAATTTATCTTTTAATCTCAACATGAAAATCAACAAAGTATGGAATGAAACCATTATGACGTTATTAGTAGGCAACAATAAAATGTTGATAGGAAAAGTATGTGATCGAACTATGACCTTGGTAAATGTGACAATCGGGGAGTACCACATAGTGGAGGTAAAGCCATATCCAAGTAAACGTTAGAATCACACGAAAGATTAGGCAAGAACAACTTTGACATGAAGTCAAGGACGTGTGGAATGTATGACATACATAACAACACCCATAGATAATTCCTCATCCTCGCCGTCAGAATATTCAATTGGCTTGAAATCTAAGTTATCTTCCTTAAGAGTAACACAACTAGACACGGGAGGAGACTATGGGTGATAGACTTAGAGTATGACATGCTTGGTGATGATAGAAGGATATGTAACAAATGTTGGCCTAATGATAATCGTTATCTAAGGATTAGGGTGTAGTGGTGAAGTGTTCGACAGAACTTGGTTCATTAATCGCATGAAAGTGCTTGGTGCGTTCGACA